ACGCAGTGGCCAGAAGCGCCCTGCAATACACGAAGGATTCATCCCCGCGTCCCATACCCACCAAGCCTTCCATCCTTCCGGAGTCGCCAAATTGGTACCAGAGTTGTCTGGAAAGATAACAACGCTTACTCGTTACATCGTCGGGCCAACGCGAGTCATTCTAAAGGCTAGATATGCACTCAATCACCTCGGACGATGTTTGATGAAGTCGAATACATGGCCCATTCTTCAAGGATCGATCAACACCAAGAGCTCTTTGGTTTTTTTTTAAACCGTCAGCTAATAGGGTGAACATACTTGCCGAAGAGCTCGTATAAGTTTATTGATTTACTTATCTGAGGATCTCAAATCGATCACCCACGAACCAACGTGGCAAACCCTAGGTATAGACAGAGTGGTAGACGTCGGCCAAAAGCAACTTTTCATGAGACATAGATTGGACAGGATTTTTTCTATGGCGAAGGTCACATTCCCATTGCATCAGAATAGCCACCGTATCGCGATCATAAAAAAGCTAAAGGATAAGGCTGTCGGCGTTCATCAATCGCTGAAAGATGTGCCATGCATTCAACTTCATTAAACATCGTTGGAAGCGATTGAATGCATATCTGGCTGTACATTGACTCGCGGTGGCCTACCGATATATCGAGCCAGTGGTGCTATCTTTCTAGAGACCAATTTGCCACCCCCGGAAGGATGGAAGGCTTAGTGGACCAGAGGCGCGAGGACCAATTCCGCATGTACTGTTTTCGGTGGTTTTTATTGAAGGAGTTTAAACAGAATTGTTTTCAATATTAGCTGCAGTCAGTGTTTCGCAATTTGGAGCACATTCTAACAGATTTAAAATAGAGATATGTGGTCTTTCTTTTTCTTCTAAAACATTTTCCCTTTCCTTTCTAAACACAACATTTCCACAGCTTAGCTATTTTATCGGTCTTTTAAAAATACGTTACTGGAGCGTAGGAACACTTACAACTTTGAAAAACCCAAGCACGTTGTACTATTCACCGTTCCCAACATAGTTCTTTCACTCACGGACATTAGTGCCCCAAAAATCGAACTGTCTCTTCGATGGTTCTATCTGGAAAGGTAGCAAGCAGATGGAGCAGGTAGCGTACTGTCACAACCCCGATGATGATAACTCGTCTCCATTATCGTACACCCAACAGGCACTTTACTAAGGTACTACTTCGTACTTCGTATAGTATTCTGAAATCGCACCGACCTCAAGAAGAGTTCGGTCGGATCATCAAACTGCCAAAATTGATTATGAGTTAAGATGAAAAATATGGAATGCATGATTGACGGAACACATCTAGATATAATCCGTAGGAAGACTTTGTTCACACAATCGCTTTGTCCTAATCTAAATAATTGGTCCCGTTTCCTTCAACACTGTGAGACGTCGACTTTCCTTTAGTAAAATTTAAGTTTTTTTTTGAATTCGACCACATAACGGTACATTTTCGACAACATCATGACATCAACAGCTGCCAGAGCTTCTGCCAGGTATCACAACTAACCATCGTAGTTGCTATTCCAAAAAATTCGGTGATGGTTCGTCATTTCATCTGAACCTAATGGTGATCTTCCATCAGTGGAGTGGGCTAAGAACGCAATGTCATCGTTAACTTGTGCTCCATAGGATCGAAATCGCTAGAGTGGGACCAGGTATAGCTGTGCTCAATTCAGGGTTAATGTTTTCGTTCTGACTTTGAGTATACCAGAAATTTATGCAAAAGCTGTTGCTTGTTCTCTTATCATAAAATATGAAAGTCATCTATGTTACCTGATAGCGTTCTTATTTCTGCGTGTGCTTGCTCTTTTTCATAATATTGACCATTTTATATTTTCGAACATTCCTAGTTCTACAAACGACCCACAAGTTAAGGAAAAGTCCTTTAGTACATGCAAAATCCTATACAATAATATTAATGGTGTCAGGAAGAATTTTGGTGGCAAAAAAGTTAAAGAGAATAACTAAGACTTGATCTCAATGCGTTATTTTCTTGATAAGCAAACACGAGGTTATTATCACACATTATTCATAGCACCTAACATTTCGGCGGATTTTGCCTTCTTCGCGTTTCAGTGCATTTCCCCCGGCTGCCTTTTTGCCATACTAAACTTCTACTACACCTCTAGTGTTCAATTGACAGCTTATCTAACACAGATCTTGTGCCAGAAAGTAGCCCACGAAACGTATCTGATGTGTGGACAAGCTATGCGCCGGAATTCTCCGCAACGCGTAAGCTCCATATACCCTCGTCTTTTATTCTCACATATTTTTACTCTCGTTTTAAATATAATCCTCGAAAATAGTCATAACCTAAAATCCCTACAATTTCGAAATTTACTCTTACATCTCGAACTTATACTCATGAACTACTCATTCTGATCTTTTTAACAGCATTATTATATCTCTTCCACGCGATCAATGTGGATATCTGAGTAAACAAGCGAAACAATAGGAGAATGAAGAATAATGTTTGACTCTTATTTACAGATTACTCTTTTCTCATGGTAGGCTATTATGTGAAATGCAACCACAAGGATGCTGGGATCTGAGAAAAACTGAATGAAGAATAATTCTATCCTCACATTTCATTACCATCACGCCGATCCGGTTCTGTTATGCCAGCCTTTCCCTCTTCTTAAATTTTAAGAATGACCTAATTCGGAAGTCCTTCCCTATTCCTCATGGACGTTTCGATTTTGTGTCTTTCTCTGTAGTGGTCTCTCAGTCAACGAGGCACTTATAGCAATCATCGGCACATACGTCCACTCGTTCATCCAAAAATGCATCCGCAGCCACTGATTCAGATATACTATCGCTCTATATAGGTTTTTCTCTTCAAACGTCATAAATCTGTAGGTGTATAAGCCTTTTATAGGCAATTTCATCATCGACAATGATAAGGACCGAGAATGTGGCAGCCTTTACCGGAATTTCTGTTGATAATTTCGATAAGTGATCTGGTCTTGCAAAACTTCTAGAGCTCGTACACGATAGCATAGGTTGTCGGTCAACTGGAGGCGACCCGAGAGTTTTTCGAGTCTTTACTTTTCTATGAAGCCTGCTACAACAGGTCCTTCAAGCTGGACTGATACTTCAATTTTCGTTAAACTCTACGTTGTTACTACCACGTAAAAGCACAGACCGATCAGCTTTATTGTCCTTTTTACAGTTGTCGTTCCTCATAACTGGTCTTTCTATTGATTCTAACTGTTAGCCTTCAAAATACCTGTTATAAGTAATGTAAGTAATATAAGTCAAGTAAATAAGAACTGCACTGGTTCTGTACGTCCAAGCAGAAATGGTCCATTAGCTCCTAAATGACTGTCACCGATGTTGGGGGTTGTGAGCACCACATTGCTTCGCCGATCCCATCTCAACGCCTTCCTGTTTTTCGCGCGATCGACATTCATCACCACTCGTCGGGACAAAGCCGAGACTCATACTCAGCAGTGCCTTTTCTTATTCATTTCCGATGACGAACGTGAAACTTACGTTCCGGTGACGTGATTCAGGAAATACTGTTTCTGACCAGTAAGAGATTGTTCTTTCCTATGTAATCGTCATGATGAATCATATTTATCGTTATCTCATGAAAATGTCGAAACATACATTTTTGTTGCGATACTACTACTGCCAATTACAGGCGCTAAAAAAACAATGGAGTTGCAAGGTGACCTCCCAACGATTTACCGCCTCATCGTGGCTGAGGTGTTTCTGGGTGTCGGATTTCGATGTAAAGTAGAGGGATTCATCTCCCCAGCAAGGTCTTCCAAGCTGAGGAGTCCGGCACTTCCATCAGGAAGCCTAGCTAAGACTAAACCAATACAGGATCCACCACCGTCCTGGTATCAAAATCGCATGCTGACAAATCTCCCTCTGATCTACAAGGGCTGCGACTGCCACTAGCGGTGAAGACCTGGGGCAGACTATGGCCAGGCTGACCTCGGCATTCCAGGGAACCACAGTGGGTTAACCAGCAAATCTCCGAAAAATGGTGATTATGCTGAGGCCCGCACAACCAGTGAGGACGGACGGGCCATTCAAGTATCAAGTGAGTATCAAGTTGCATGGTGGACGAATTTCTTCTCCTTTCTTTTTTCCTTTAGCACAAAAGGTGCTAATATTTCAAAATCATGGTGTGAAGTACATAGAAGAATGTTGTGGTGGTCGTTGCGCCACAATTGGCACTGGTTAAGTTTAAGACTATGTTTTAAGTAGATAGATTAATGGGACAGATAGCGCAGCAAGTATTTAGTTGAACAGTCGTCGCCGTCCGTGAGTTACACTCTCGAAACCGGTTTTGTTTTCTGATGTAAACTGGGAGTTCTGTAACACATAAAACCCTTGGACGTCTGAGGGACTGTGAATGGCTCGAGAAATGGAAGTTGCCTCGAAGTACTGCAGCAGATTTGTACGCCTTAGGTACCTAGATTAAATCACAAGCTCCACCTGTAGCAAGTTAAACGAGAAGTATGATGTTCTGTTTCTTGAGCGAGCGATGGGCAGTGGGCAGCCGAGATGAGCAGCAAACATTACCAACGTTCGAATGTCATTGGAAAATTGACGGAATTAATTCCGATACAGTGTGATATAGTTCAGCAAATGATTTCGACGAAAATTCGTAATCTATTCCTCGGCTTACGGATGAAAACCTATTACTTGGAATTCCGACCTGAGAGACACTTTTAGGTTCCGAGTAAGTCTACCCATCCACTGACTACACTTTCGTGATGGACCGTTCCTAGGCAATGGGTGAGCACCACCACGGTGTCTCAGCTCTCTCATTGGGTGGGTGTACTGCGATGAGCGCAAGTTTCCCGGGCACGTTGCCAGCCGACCAGTGCCAGACGACGAGAGGCTGCGAAGACGCGGGGCGAAAGAGCGCGGGCACAGCGCCATCTATCGATCGGCGGTGCGCGGTGGCGGAGACGGACGACGGACGATCGGCGCGTGCCTGACGGCGACGGTCGGCGGATTACGGATGAAACGCAAGCTGTCCGACGCGGCCGACGACTTCATCTGGCAGGTGGACGAGCACCGTCCGGCCGACGACGGCCAGCTCGACGAGCACCGCGGCCCGTGCGTCATCGACTACGACTCGTGAGTCCCACTTTCTGTGCCGGTTTCACGGTCTCGCCCATTCTGATTCGACCCCTCTCATCTACCATATCTGTACAGTAGGCTCATTGCCAATTCTTTTCATCTACCTCAACTTTGAACAACACTGAGCTTCATTAGCAGGCTAACTTGATTTCCGTAATCAAATTCAATGTGCAATATTCATATATCTTTCCTTTCGTATTGAACTCTGATGATGCCATAGAAAGTAGCTGGTGCTACAAATAAGATTTTCGTTGTGGGTTACCTATACTCTGTAATGGATGGGCCGTTACATTATGAACGAACCGAACCTCAGTCAGTTCAATTTATACATCGTTCGTAGACCCTCGGTGCTTCTTAAAAGACGACAAATTGTTTGCCATCGTTGTTGTTAGTACGTTTGGAACGAAGATTGTATATATTTTTAGTATGCTGATGCTAGCGAATGTTCCTCCTCTTACCGATGAGATGAGGTTTCGATGCCCTGCGCTACCACTTCGGACACGATCCACTCCTGAATTCACTCTTGTATTGGATTTGGTAAGGATTTCTACAACGTTGTAGTTTTGTTAGCAACGGGACGGTTGAACCTGCTGCAAATGTAATTTCAGGACGAAACCCTAGTACACTGCAGTCTAAATCCACTTGTTGATGCATCCATGGTATTTCCAGTCAATTTCCAGAATAACACATACGAGGTGCAATACATTTTTTATTCACATGATTAAATTGACAGCACTGACTGACCTTCCGAAGAAAGATGTTTCACCAGATCCATGCTTATAAAATTTTTCCTACTACGAACGCGAACGTTACCTCTATAGTTATTGAAGAACACGTGCACTGGATAAAAACCCGTTCGTCGATCCGGATTCTTACCAGCCGACTATTACAAATGAATGCTTTGGTTTATTCTGAAAATGGGGATTCAGTCAGTGACAATGTTAGTACACTGTTTGATTTCCATCATGTGCTGTCTTGGAATTTCCTGTTCAGGTGTACGTTCGGTTGCGGCCTCATCTTCATACCTTTTTGGAACGACTATCAGCTAATTATGAGATTATCCTTTTTACAGCTAGCAAGAGAATATATGCCGACAAGCTATTGGTAAGTCCGTCTCACTGTAACACTACTAAGTGAACTCCTAGTACTTTAGAAGAGTTATTCGTAACAAAGTTCTATTTCAGAACTTGCTTGATCCGCAGAAGCGGTTGGTCCGACACAGACTGTTCCGCGAACACTGCGTTTGTGTTTATGGAAATTACATCAAAGATCTTTCCATACTCGGAAGAGACCTTTCTCGAACAGTTATCATCGATAACGCACCTCAGTCGTTCGCCTACCAAATTGATAATGGAATTCCAATTGAGAGCTGGTTTCATGAGAAGGATGACACGGAGCTTCTGAAACTACTTCCATTCCTGGAAAGCCTTCCCAAAGAGGTTAACTTATGTGTAGAAAATGACGAACTAGCTGCAATTATAACTGCTTTACGTAATATTCAAAGAAGTGTTGCCCCATTTGATCTTTTTATTAGGGATCAATAAGATTGCTTTTAAGGGAAGCACTATGTAGAGAATCACTTTAGTGGTGTATCAAGGTGGGGTCAGTAAACTAAAGATTCATTTTGATTCGAGTCCTCTAATAATGAATTCGAGAAGGGAAAGCGAACATACCTCCACTACACCTCATCTATCAATATATCCATAGAGAGTACTGTAGTCCAGGTAGACTTGGAGTAGTAACTTAAAAATTGCCACCCGATACACCATGTAAGTGACGTTAACTGCTCCGTAGTCTTCCTAAAGTCCTGTATTTTCATACCTTTAGTAGCATGTGATGGCAGTCGTTTGAACTAGCGCTGCTTAAAACAGGTGGAACTTTCGAAATAGGGAGGAAGCGTAGAACAACACGATAAGTGATAAATTGAAGTATGCGTAACGATTCCATTCCAGAAACGTGACGTACGTGAGATTCTGAGGGAGAAGTACAGGATAAGGGAAATGTTGCCTCCGCCGTCGTACCAGACAGTTCCACCAGAACCATTGTGCTCTGGTTAGAGATTCTTACTGGATGCCTTCCAATGAGATTTCGAATCGAGTGCGGCCATTCTGATAGTATAAAGTCCAGTGCCATGATGAATCCTATTCATTAGCGTACAACATTCTATCAAAGATTAAACGTATAGCAGTACTTAGAGTACTAGGTCCGTATTTACGAAGAAAAGCATTTGGGATTGTGTTCTACCCGTGCTGAAAGTCTGGTTTCTCATCCGCACTATCTTGTACTTACATTTCGTTGATGGTACTGACCTCACAAAGGATTCTAATCAAATGAGATATATGAATGTATTAATGACATGTTGTATATAGTGACAGTGCAAAAGTCCAGTGCTACCCAAGTGAAATCCTTACCTTGAGATTTGGCACTTATTCATGAGTTCTATTATTCTCAGAGATTGAAATAAATGTTAGGAAACACCGTGTTAGCAAAGTGTATGAATTTTTTAAGAACTGGGAACAAACGGTTCTTTGCGTTTTGTGCTGTATACCTGCTTCTATGAGTATTCCTAAAGTGGTGGTCTCATCTATATCGTGGATGCTTAGCAGTGGAATCATTTCCACGACCTATGTTGGTTGAACTCAAGGTCGCTAGGTAACAGCACAGTCTTAAACTTCTTGAAACAAATGAAAGAATACATGAACCAAGAAGCATAACCAACGATAAGGACAGCATCTTTATGCTTTCTTTTCTTAATGAGTTCATGTCTACTGAAGAGAAAACTACTCTTCAATGCAGAGGTTAATAGAAAGCAGGGCCTGGGAAAGTACACTCACCCTGAAGATGAGAAGTTGAGCTGAAAAGCGGAAGGCTAACAAGTAATGAAAGTCCTCCGGTTTGAAAATGAAACCCTGACGGTGAAGATACCGACGACCACAAGCGGATGTTCGTGCCAGGACCAATTTGTATTTACGTGGACATCGATGCCACCTATACGATCCTTGTTGTCCAGTTCATCCGTTCTGATTGTCATCGCCAGTCCTAGTGTTTGTTTAGTTCGATTTTCTCGTTGTGCGTGTTCGGTACTTACATTGTAAACTTATTTGATTTCTAAATCTTTCGTTATGTTGCTGGTAAATGGTGTTTCTGTTTGTAAAGATAGCTGAAATATGTTTAGATCATCACGAAAGTGGTAGCCGTTTGACGGATTCGTACAGCTACAAGCGCTAGATCAGCGCTGTGCGAGGCGACCTCGTTTTCACCGAGCGAGGACGATGGCCTTCAAGGCAGTGGTATTGGTCGGCGGACCGCAGAAAGGTGCGTGACAATCCATTTCTCCATGTTCCTCGCAGCTGGCGCTCTTCTGTCCCTCTATACAATTTTTCTCGTCCTGCCTGTTGTTCTAATAGCAGTGGTACTACGAAACTGTCCACTGAGACTATGAAATGCTCGCTGTGTAGACTATGAAATGCTAGGTATGTCTTGAAGGTTGTTTAGTCCTCGGATCTCTTTGCTTTGAAACTGCTTGTAAAGCATTTCTTTCCTTTCTTCCTTTCCGCACTGTTACATTTGAAGATGGTAGACTGTCTTCAGGAACGCGTTTCCGTCCACTCTCTCTTCAACTTCCAAAACCTCTTTTTCCGATTGCTGGCGTCCCATTAGTGGAACACCACATTGATCAGCTTGCTCAGGTACTTTTCAGTGCGGAAGACTTTGGATCTTGCTTTTTTCTTGTTTGAATTGCTTTTTGTCAATGTCGTACACTACTGTTAGGTGTTGAAATTAAAGTGTGCATAGGTCTCCAACGTAGTGAATGGAAATGAAAATTCTTCATATTGTCCATTATCAAACCAGAGCGTACTTCTAACAGCGCCTAGATGAACTACCTTAATCTGAGTTTCTGCTAACTATAATCATCGTCTTCTGAACTTCAGCTCCCTGGTCTTTCCGAAGTTGTCTTAATTGGTTCGTACTCTTCTGAGCTGTTCACCGACTTCATTGGACGATGTCAGCAAACCTACCGTATCTCTATAAAGTACGCTCAGGAACAGCAGCCTATGGGTAATCCGGCTTACTTCGTTTTTTCACTTTTTGTTTTCCTGTTCGTGAACGACAATCATATCTAGTGGGGAAGGCTACATCTAATATAGTAGCTTAACTGTAAAGCTTTCCGTCTTTCTAAGAGCTGTTTAATTTTGAGGTACTGCTGGTGGGCTGGTAGCTCAGAGAGACACCATTGTTGGTGATTTTCCCGAGGGAGTTTTCGTCATCAACGGCGATGTTTGCGGAGACCTTCCCGTAGATGAGATGGTTGAACGTATTGCTTCATTACCTGATGATAGCTGTTTACTTCTTACCACGGAGGCCACTCGAGAACAAAGCGGAAATTTTGGAAACGTGAGTTCTTTCGTATCTGTTGTCTTACTGAGCCATCAAATTCGTTTTTTCAAGTTACTATGATTATTGATGTTATTGATCGATGGCCGACGTTTCGGCGATATCGCCTTCCTCAGAGCCTGGACGTACTTTATGTTAGAATACTTTTATTATTCGGTGGAAAAGAAGGTTAAAGTATTAATGAAGATCAAACTTTCAAATAGACGCCATATTGAACAGAAAGGCCACTCACCGTGATGTTACGTGCGGGACTGGCCCACACGTAGTCACGTGGAGTCGCGAGCAAGACGCGCCCAGGGGTCAAAATATCACTTTGAAATAGGGCGCCAGATCACGCCTGATAGTGAAGCATTCGTCCTTCCGGTTCATCTTTGGATTTTTGAAATTTATCCAAAACGCCTCGAGAGTTTTGCGCGTTGATGTTTTTGATTCCTGCATTAGGATCCGCACATTCACTTCAAAATCATCGCCGTTGTGCTTTTGTGCCCTATGCGTACCTAGAGGGGTGTTTAAACGGATTTTAGCTTTCCCATCTAGATGTTCCTTTATGCGGACACAAAGTGGTCTACCCGTTTCCCTGATATATTCCTCGCCGCATGCATTACATGAGATCAAGTATATTATACCTAAACTCATGCAATCCCTGTCTCTCCCGTTAGGACAGATCATACAGTTTTCTAAGCTGCACAAACGATCATAGAGACGGTTTCGAACCAATTGGCGGCGTAGGGTATTGGGTGGGATGTCAATAATCGTTACATTATTTTAAAGACCACTTTTTCTTAAGCACTTTTTAATGGTGTGGTGACATACTTCTTTTGATATAAAGGGCAGCTTAAAGGGGATCCTACTTTCGTCTGATATATTATTTTGGGAAACTACCCAACGTTTTCCTCTAACCCGAGTGGCTTCTACTACGTAGCCATTGGAAATGGCAATTTTCCGTGCCAGGCTTCGCGATTCCTTCCTTTCCTCTTCTCCTGTACACATATTTTTAGTCGTACGTTACATATTCTTGATAAGTGCTTTTTTAATGTGTGAAGAACGAGAGGAGAGGCAGTGAACTATAATGTTTCTACTACTTGGCTTGCGATACCATTTTGTTACATAGCCACTTACTGAGAGCTTTATTTGGACTCTGACTGTCGGTTTAATAATTCAAAGCACTTATCCAACTGTTCTTGCATAGAACAAACGATGAAGCAGTCGTCTATGTATCGACAGTCGAGTAAGAGTCGGTGACCGAGAACTGCAGCTTCCACCTTAGACATGAAAGCGATGGCAAGGCTTGGTGCTAAACGCTGTCCCATCGTCAACCCTCTAATTTGTGCAAAATATTTTCCAGACCACCTGAACGTTGAACAACACTGTTTTAAGAGAGTCATTAGTTGCGCAATCGACAAGCCGTGCATTTTTATTTTCTTTTCATGCTCTACGAGCAACACGAGAATGGCTTGCATTGCGGAGTCATTGGACACGTTGGTGTAAAGTGAACTAACATCGAATGACTCCATTATATGCGTGCTGTTTGGTTGCGCGCGCCTTAGGTGATCTAGAAATATTTTGGTGTTAGGTAGATGGGTTGGAATGGATTTTAGCAGTTGGCTTAGGATAAGGTTTAGGAACCACGTTATTCTATCCGTTGGCCCGCCTATACAACTGATGATAGGTCTAACTTTATATGATGATGGGTTCGTTGATGTAATATCATCAGTTGAAGTAAGCTTATGTGTTTTAATAAGCAAGTAAAGGACAGGGCAAATCGGCTGTTCATTCTTAAGTCGAGAAATAACTGAAGGCTCTAAACCGGCGGCCGTTGCCGTGCTGACCCATTCTTGATTCAATTTTCGGTATTGATTTCTGTATTACTTTTCAGAGGATGTTCGATAGAGAGAAACATCACTGAGGTGCTCCTCTGTTATCCTAGTATCCAACTGACTAGGAAGAACTACAAATTCTCCGCCTTTATCACTAATAGAAAGCCTAACAGATTTTGAATTCAAAAGCTCTCTAACCTGGCGCATACCACTTTTTTGTTGGTGTGTGAGGTTTGAGCTTATTTTTCGTTTTTGGTAGTGATTAAGTAAACATCAACGCGCAAAACTCTCGAGGCGTTTTGGATAAATTTCAAAAATCCAAAGATGAACCGGAAGGACGAATGCCTCACTATCACTCGTGACCTGGCGCCCTATTTCGAAATGATATTTTGACCTCTGGGCGTGTCTTGCTCGCGACTCCACGTGAACTACGTGTGGGCCAGTCCCGCACGTAACATCACGGTGAGTGGCCTTTCTGTTCAATATGGCGTCTATTTGAAAGTTTGATCTTCATTAATACTTTAACCTTCTTTTCCACCGAATAATAAAAAGTATTCTAACATAAAGTGCGTCCAGGTTCTGAGGAAGACGAAGTCGCCGAAACGTCAGCCATCGATCAATAACATCAAAAACAACAACAACGAAGATCTGTACCAACCTCGCGTCAGCTTAAGAAGATCAGTTTATAAGATCACATAAATAAATATATCAACTATCTATGCCGAGGTTTATAGAAAGTCGGTCTTTCGAGTTGCTATGATTATTTGTGACCTGAAGTTGTATGCCGTCTCTTTATGTTACATGTATGGATCGTTTACGATACTCATTGCGTTTTCCGTGTGTTAGGATTTTAGAATAGTCCCATCCAGTGATTACTAGTGTAACTCGGTTTATTTAATGCTGTTGGAAAATGATGACCATAGATTGAAGACTTGCACAGGAAAAATAAAAAAAAGAATGTCATTGTTTTGAAATAATCGGTTTACACTTGCGTATCTACCAAGTATGCTGAAAACCTTAATTTTAACTTTTTGGTTGCTGCATACTAAAATTTTTCGAGGCAGGGTATTATGCGTTATACGATCATAATAATGCTGAAATACGTTCTGACTACAGCCTCAGCTTAACAGGGTTCATTGACGATTTTGGCTCCCCAGATCAATGCTGCTGACGAATGATCGCTGATGGCACTGGCAGATAGAAAACTAACCACTTGAGAGAAAGGCGAAACGAGGGACCCGCATGGTGTGGGGCGTTGGTCCCCGGAAAAGGTAGTAGCGCGTTCGTTGCCCACCATAGACACTTGTGGTGCGGAGTTTTGCAAATATTTCCGCATAGTAATGGTTGTATGTTGAATATCGTTAGCATTCTCCACAGAGCCATAAGTATAGAACGACAATATGTGAGTAGTGATGCAGATGAAAGAAAGTACTTCTTCACTCACATGATCCACATCGGTCCTAAGTCCATATTTTCAGCACTTTTAAATTTAGCTCTTTCAGGTGGTGATTGATAATAATGGTCGTGTCGTGCACTACGTTGATAAGCCCACAACATTTGTCTCCACTCACATATCATGTGGAGTTTATCTCATGAAAACAAGTGCAATTATGGTCTGTGTAAGAAACTCCCGTAGACAAACCAATGTTTCGATATGGGTTCTTAATTGCTTGTTAACTTTGCTCTTCCAGGGACTCAATGCCGATTCAATTAGTAACCTATGGTTTGAAACGGACATCTTTCCTCAGATGGCCTATAACGGAAAACTTTTTGCTCTGCACACAACTCGCTGGTGGAGTCAAACAAAAACAGCAGCGTTAGTCTTTCTGAATGTTTTGAAAATTCTATAGATACTTATACAGGGTAACTGTAACAACAACGGCTCAATATGTGTTAGTTCTGTTTTATATTCTCTCCAGGTTTTTATTCTGCTTTGCAGAGCTTTTATGCTACACTTTTTATGGTCAATCGTTATCTCTCTACCACTGAGGTGTTACCAGTTATTGACCACGACCAACTATTTTCTAAGTGCATTAAATTAGAAGGGAAAATTTTTTCGTGCTATAAGAATGTTGAGATATGAGCAAAAGCCGGATCCACAGATGGACTTCGAACCGGTGGTTATCCTTGCCGCAGGTTCACGTGTTATCGACCATACCGAGCGAGGTCCTATTTTGCCTTTATTTCAACCATTTTTTACCGTCGGTGAGATCAGCACTCAACCGTCAATGGGAACGATCTGCGAGCAAAAATCGGCATTGGACCTTGAATCATTGTGATTGTACTTCATATCGTACCCTGTCATGAAAAAAAAGTAAGCGATAAGGTAGTGTGTTCTTTGTGCTAGTTTGTTTGTACAACATAGGGTAGCTAGCGTGGTAGGTACTAAGGTATTCTAGCGAGAGCTCACGGAATGCGCTCCCGTCATTGTATTTCCATGCAGTTTTTAGGTCCTTTACAGATGCAGATTATAAAATATACTCTGCCCAAACAACTGCTCTGCAATCATTAGAATCTACAGTCTCCACTACACTTTTGTGTTTATTTTTGAAATAGGCAAACAGCAGTTTTTGGCACCGAGTACACCATGTGCAACTGCTCGATATGCGAACTGATAGGTAGTCACGACATTTTACTAACTTCTTATAACAACCAACGCAACTCGTCAATATTTTTGCAGTTTCCTTGAATATGTTTGCCGATGTTTTCTGCGCAGTCTTGTAATATATCTATCAACACCACACACATCTGAATAGCTAAATTTAAGAGACGTGTTTACCAATAGATGGGGTATCAACAGGTTTTCAAACCTATCTCTTATCACTTCATTGGGCCCATAATTCGACGAACCAAAAAATTCCCATCCGAAAGCAGACTAAAGAATGTTTCTTGAATCTCTTCTATAGTTGTCGCTTCCCTATGACTGATGCTTCCATTTTCATGTGTATTCGTCTCGTTCTTACCCAGATAGCATCCATTAATATTTCAAGAAAGTATATTCGTTCAGTGTATTCAATCAGAAATTATCTACTTACACCAGAATTAATCTATGTGCCGCAAGACACTTCACGGTTTGACTATTTACCATCATCACTTGGGTTTTTATCCTCAATAAAATTCTTCAGATTTGGAAGGAAATGCAGGGGGTTTTTGTTTCTTTTTCTGAAAGTATTTAGCTTGTTCGCTCTCGCTGAAGAATGGATCAAAAATGAATTCGTCTTCCATCTTCATCATTTATGCCTGCGAAACTCGTTATTGCACAAAATACGTTGCGAAACTGAACTAAATGCTAACAGCAGCATACGGTCGACGACAAAACTGATGAGTTCCTGAGCGATCCGCCATGCATTCGACTTCATCAAACATGATTATAGGTGGTTGGATGGATATGTCTATACACAATGAATTGTGAAGACCTAGCAATGTATAATCCCGCGTTTTTGTCTTTCGTGAAATCTGGTTCCAACTTGCCAACCCCGAAGAAATGGAAGGCTTGGTGAAGGGTGCGTGGGATGGAACGAACGACTATGCGTGTATTAAAGGGCGCGTCTAACCACTACATTACACATGCCCGACAGCAACGTAGAGAGTTTTTTTTCCTTCTTCACTATGTGCAGGAGTTGAAAGTGTTCCAGAAGCATGGGAAGATACATAGAGGAATTGTCGAATACTTTTTAAAAGAGGCGGAATTATGTGTCGAAGAAGAAGGCAGAGTGATGGATGTGATTTGAGTTCTTATCACATACGCCCGAAGTTAAAGCATGGTCCCTTGGGCCCTCAATAGAAAATCTGCTTCGAGACATATGTGCTGGTAATGAAATTTGATATTAGGGAATTACTCGTACTTGACTTAGCAGGAAAATCTTTTATACTGTAGATCTTCTATATTATGGTGTACTGAAGTAGTGATGAATGCATTTTGAAGTTCAAAATACTGGAGTCCGGAGATGAGATCTTTTACTCAGGCGTTGTTTTCATTATTAGGAATCTTCTCTCATATTACGCTTGCGGATTTTGAAAGTCCCTTTCAGCTTTTTTTACCGTGTTTTCTCCAAATAACTGTTTTAGAGCCGTCCTTTATGCCAATAGACACTATCTTCGTTTGTTCAAGAAGCGATATGCAGCTCGTTTGTGTAAGGATCGTGCGCAGATTATCGGTGATGTATTCATTGATCCCAGTGCGGAGGTATATATGTGCACTACGAAAGTCATTTCGTTGTACAAATGTTCTCTTTGGTCATTTCACTAGTACATTTTTACATCTTGGTTCAGGTCGACAAATCCGCTAAAATTGGTCCTAACGTCAGCATAGGCGCAAATGCCAAGATAGGAAAGGGTGTTAGAATAAAAGTACGTTTATTTGTCGCATTAAATTCCTACATTATCTTACTATTGTCGCAATTTTGTAGGAGTCGATAATTCTTGCTGATGCAGTTGTGAATGAGCATGCCTGCGTTTTACATTCCGTTATTGGTTGGCGTTCAGTAGTGGGAGCTTGGGCTCGTGTGGAGGGGATTCCAATCACACCAAATCCCAACCTTCCATTTGCTAAGGTTAATGTTAAATTTTTTAGAAAAATTTTTTTACACGATTCGTCTTTGCATGTACCGAATAGGACTCAGCACTTCTTGCATTCGTTTCGTTTTTCCAATCCATCGTCCACGGAGATCTCACTTTTCACGCTTGGGTTCCACTGTTGCTTGAGGACTGTGGTCATCTCTATAAATATCAATGTGTCGTTTTCTTGTTCAGCAATCACGAGGTTTTTAAACGGCATACATTTACTTCCATAAAAACACAATACAATACAACGCTAGCTGACGTTTCGGCAGTATCGC